GTTTAAATTAAAACTGCCCCGAACCAGTTATTGGAAAACTACAAAGGCTATCTTTCACTTTCACTGTTTTTGAATTGCTGACTAAAGGAAAAGCAAGTGGTTAATAACAGCAACCACTACTTTTTTTTCTTTTTAACTCTCTCACTATAGGCTTGATTGATCTGACCAAGTCTGTCACCATAAACTGACCTTCAGAGTTTCCATACTATAACTTTTTACATACTTTGTTGAAGTGTTTACTGCTCCGAGTGCAAATTGATTTGCATGTTAATATTAAAAACATTTTACCTTAAAATTGTGAAATTTTATTTGCAGAATCTCTAGAATCTCATAAGTAAATATGAAACGTTTTTTCAGTAAAACTTAATATTTTATCCAATATTTTGTCTACACTAGCTATTTGCATGCAGTCAGTTTCACTGACCTCATAACCACCATAAAATGTATCAAAAATCAAAATCAAAAATCAGTTTTCACCTCAGGCCTAGGAATCAGAAGGTAAAGAGGACTTCTATTCCAAAGATCCAGGTCAGCAAATGTGTGCAGAACTAATGAACAATCAACACCAGCCACCCAGAATTCAAGATGACAGTATGAAGTTGGAATGCAACATAGAGAATCAACTCCAGTCCAAAACCAGGCAGCATTATGAATGTATTTTCCACTCCATGGTAGGAGGAAGGCCCCAGTCCAATTGGATGTGTGTGTGAAGACTTACACTGACCAGACCAGCACACCAAAGAACCAACTTGCAGGCAAAGGTAGAAAGGAGGGTTCCCAGTTGGAATGATGAGCTTCATTTGACGGATTCATCCAGTCCATGGCCAAACAGCATCTAGAACTGTACATCAGGTCTCTGGTAGGAGGATAGTACACACCATCTACACTAGATGGACACCACCACCCTACTCTCAATTCGGTGGGATTGAGCAGGAGCCTCCATGGTTCACCACCCCAGCAGCTAGGAGCTGGTAAGTAGTAAGGTTTCCCATACTCCACTAGTACTCCAATAGCACAATAGGGAGTCTAGAGAAATGCATCACCACAGAAAGAGCAATGGGTAATCATGGAAACCTATTTTTAAAAGCAGGCCAAACCTAAAATATTCAACCAGGAATAGAGGGAAGAGCAGCAATCCCTTCCCTGCTTTACTCATGATAATTCATGACTTCATACAGTTTGTGACAGGCATATTTATGATGCAATATATCATGAGGATGAATCTACAAGCTGTGTTCCAAAATGCCCCATCTCAACAGTGAGCATTATAGACTTTAATAGCCATAAAGTGTGAATACTTTAACAGGCACCACAGAGCAATCCAACATGTGAAATGGGCCAATATAATGGAAAGAAAACTTACCCATTCAAAGTTGAACTGAGGTGTGTAGAACGGCAATGAGCTGAAATCAGTATCCAGAGGAGGAGGAGACAGTCACGTGATGTAAAGAATGTGTGATGAAGATATGAGGTGTGGTCCATGTTTCTGCCCACAAGACTTCCAATAATGGACAACAAAAGTGGGCAGCCATGGAAAAGTGATGAAGATCCAATCGTGATGGGAGGAATCTACTGCAAAAGCTAAAGAAAGTAGAAACAGGAATGAACATGGAGGGAGCTGGTAAGTGAGGTGGGTGGTAGGTATGTCCAGAAGAGGAGAACACTATTGAGAGCACAACCACTGAAGCACTCGAGATATGCTAAAATATGTATGTGTTGAAAGTTGGCTTTCAAAGGTTCATCCTATATTTAAAGATAAAGCAAATGGGAATGGGTGCCCCATCACTGGTCAATGGTTGAGACAACTATTGAAAAATCATAATGGATCATAGCTAAATGGTAATGTACTGATGGTAGGAAATGATTCAATGTGTGAATGAACAACAAGAAGTTTCAACAGATTGAAGTGTAGAGTTGACTTGGGTCAAAGAATGATCAACGACCTGTGACCTCATGAGAATCCATATGCGTCCCCAACCAGTAAGAAAAGTATATGTGAAAAAGAGCAACTTGGAACAGGGAGGAATGAAAGGAATTCCAACCAAGGTGTTGTCTCTGATGAGCCACCAGGTAAAATCCACAGATTAAAAGATCATGCAACACTCAAAGAACATGAATGTGTGCAAGACTCAAGGGAAAAAGGGCTACCCTGGAAGTTCAAGTCCCCAAAAGATGCAGAACCTCACATGTCAGAAGAACAGAAGAAGAGTTCTTTGGTCACCCTGAGCTCCAGCAATATGTAGGGATGGAGCAAAAAGTAGCCAGCTGTCCATGTTTGGATGTAATGGTGAAATGGCAGACCATTGGAATGAAGATGTCTGGCAAAACCCTTAGTCAATCTACAGAAGACACAAGTTGTTGAAGGTGGTCCAAATGGTACAGTGTGGAATTGACAAATTTGACCTGTATGGACTAAAACAAAGGTAATATTTATATGCAGGGGAATGAGGAATATTAAGGCACGTATTTCAGACATCCACTTTAGTCAGTCAGAGACCTTGAGTCAATTCACACGTAAGGGTCAGGAAATCTTATGGTGAAACAAGGAAAGTTGATGAAACAACAGAACTCCACATCTCACTGCAAGAAGGAATTATAAACCATTAAAAGAACCCCATAGAAGGGTGACTTACTGGATCAATAGTAGCCTCACCCACAAGATCTGGCATTGATTTGGAGAAATGCCGGCAAGAAAAATTACCCCACTGACAAGAGAAAGGAATGGGCAGTGAAGAAATTGGAGGAGTAGAAAAAGAAGAGAATCCTTTTGACAATGCAAAAAGCACCCAATAATCAGAGGTGAAAGCATGCCATAGATGTGGCTTGCCACATAAACCTGTGTAAGAATGAATGGCATGGGGGGGGGGGGGGAGCTGTGCAAGACAAAAGACCAAAGGAAGGAAAATCAAGTAGTAGCCTCCACCACAGACACCCATGTATTGACTGTTGTAAATAGGGTGCCAAACGATGGTCATGTATTTATGGAAGAGGGAAACACATGTGAGACAAAAAGTGCACACTACTCAGAAGATCCAACAACTGAGGACCTGAGTAATAAGTGAAGAAGGAAAGGGAGGGATGACAATGGAAGAAATGGACCTGAAATCACATTGCAGTTACAGAGTTTGAAACCTACACCTGAAAGAAAGGTTTGAGGCCTGAAGGTCCATAAATTAGAGGTTCAAGGTATGCTGACCTCAGATCTTAACTGGACTACAAATTGAACATTATGGACCAAGAAATCTGGAGAAGGAGGGAAATACAATAATCACACAAAAAAGTAACTTACCTGGGAAATTATGACAATGAGTAGTGAACAAATATGGAGGAGGATCCATAGGCTTAGCCCAGAACAGCATGGCAAAGGAAGAAAGTAGAAAAAAAAAGGGTTGCCCAAAACATCATCATCCAATCCAGATTTACCAGGGATTGATACAACTAGCCTTAGATAAAGAGGCACAATAGGCCACATGATTGATTCCCATTCACAGTGATACAAAGCCAAAACCTCCTTTCCAGAAAAAGTGGAGCTTGAGGCTACAGAAGCAACAGGTTGTTCTACAGTGGTGGAAATCATGAGAGAAATCGTAGTTGTAATCATAAAGCAATATTGTGGTAACCTCAAGTGGGTAAACAAAATTATTCCACAAAAAATCACCAAAATTTGAAAAAATTACAATAGTAAAAAACCAACTAAATTAGTTGTTATATTAATCAAGTGAAAAAACAAAAAATGAAGTAAAAACAAGCATAAAATAAACACATCTGCACACTAAAATGCCAAATTGAAAAGTTAAAATTGGGCTCTACAGAATAGAAGGAGCCAACTGCACCTGGTGGGTGTTTCGCACACCTACTGGTGGAGGGTTGTTGCATTCTTATTTGCATGCTACAGTGCAACTGTACTATGTGTAAGCATGTGAGGGTATCAAAGCTAGTTGTGAGCAAAAACTGCACAAAAAGAAAGCAGCAATGAATGAGAAAAGTTATTATGTGAGAAGAGGTATTGTGTCAGAAATTTGATTTATTAGCTATGTTTTAATGCCATATTTATTCATAAACAATAACAATAAAGTAATTTAATTACATCTTGAATGTAGCTCTCCAGAAAGTCATGACATGTGCAATATGACATGCCCATCGCAAGTGGGTTTATATTAAATTGATTCCTTTATAGAAAAACCCTAGAGTGAACTATATATACGGACAACTTAGAAATCATTCAAGAGCCTGAAATGGAAACAACATAAGAACAAAACTACCTAAATAGATTTTCTGAAGTTTAAAGAACTATCACAACAAGCCACATAATTTTTTATTAATTTCTTTATGTTACCTAAACTGCTGTATGTGTGTTTAAATCAAATTCCAATGTTTCTTATTTGTTGCTGATTCCTACTTCACACAACAGTGAAGTATGTAACAGTTCTCTTCTAAATCCATTGTCTGATAGAAATGTGTGGATCAATGATTGCCAACAAAGCATCTATAGGTTTCCATAGTCAGTTGGGAATATACAGCTTCAAACAGAGGAGAAGCTTCCAAGATAGATAATACTTCACATTGAAAGTGGTTAAGTGTAGAACTGTGAAAAGTATGATACCAGACCTGCACTGCACCAAGGATGTTCATAATTTTAGGTCATGTGATACAGAAAGAGCAACAAAAGGCAAACTATGATTCAGGGGTAATTCTGACTGCCATCAACTTGCCAGTACATAAAAAAATATTTTATCAGTGATAAAATCACATATAAGCTCTTTACTAACAGTAAACAGTGGGTTAATCCTTCATCTCAGTTAGTATAACACTTACTTCATACTTGAAATGTCTCTGGTTTAACCCAACTCACAGGTGATGGTATAGAATAAGATTAGGAAAGTGTCACTAGACTCAGGTTTATGCAATCAAAGACTCAAATACCAAGATAATTCAATCTAATTTTACTGATATACATGCCTGAGACAGGAAATAATAGCATGCATAAAAAAAATTGTCATATTATCATTGAATAATTAACAATTAAAACAAGTAAAATTTCACACTACTTACACTGGGAAGAGCATAACACATTTAAATTCTAAATATATTTACTTACTACTAGTTATTGTGGAACTTTCATGTTCATTTTTCTCCAATTTGATATCCAACAAAGCTTCCTGTTCCTCATCAGAAAATGGTTCAAACTTCATCTTTAATATTTCCATAATTACACAAAAGTTTCACCTTTATATTCTTATCAAAACTTGTAGCTAGACTACAGAGAAATAAATTAAGAATTAGATGTTGCACCCTTCAAAAAAAGTTACAAAGTCTTCAACAATTACAAATCCCAAAATTCACATTATCTTGCTAACTTTCATATCAGATTAAAAGCTTGTTAAATATTTTGATAATAAATATAAACATTATATGCACCACAACTGTTTTATATTTAATATGTACTTGACCTTTTGGTTTCAAATGAATGAGAGTTGTTTACCACACATAAAAGAAACAGACATTAATGGTTATGTAAAGAGTACTCAGCAAGAGAGCAACCTGCTCTAGAAAATGTTGAGAGGAAATAAAAGAAGCTATATTATCAGATGAAACATAAAATGTAAGATGTAACTAAATGGTCAAAACTAACCAGAATCACATGAAGAGAAACAAAGTGAAGTTCAGTAACCATACATTTAGAACACTGGTGTTCCCTCTAACACTAGAAGTGCCAACATTCCAAGTTCAGGTGAATAATTAAGATATATCTACATTATTATGAAATGAATAGCAGAAAGGAAAAATTTTACAAGGTCTAACTGAAATAATAAACCATTAAAAGAATTTTCCATATCAGCAAAGACTATGTTCCATGTCCATTCAACAATTTCAATAAACTGTTTCTAGCTGTATATCCTTCCCACAGATCAAAACACAGTTGTGTATTGTTTCATACAATGTACGTGTTTCTTACAACGTACATGTACCATATCACACAAGTTTTAAACCTTACCAAATGTTATTTTTAAAAGTAATGATGTTTTGTATTTGGTGGAATGTATGAATGACAATATTTTAATATGACCATTTGTTTGTTGAAAAGTCTTCTACAAAGTAATTTCAGAATTCCATGATTTTCAGACTTTTTGCAACTTCTAAGATTAAAAATATTTACTACTCATTGGTTTAGGTTAACAAAAGACTTTCTATTTCGTCAACTATTACAATATTGAAAGTCAAATCTACATTTTACTTCTAGTTTTTGCATCTTACAGTCAAAACCAGCCCATATCAACATAAGATTTGGTAAAGCTTTAATTGAGTTTAAAAGCTGATACAGTGACAGTAGTAGGAATATTACTTTTGACGAACGATAAAGAATCAAAACCACTATTCATTTTATCAACATATCCCTCTTTACAGATAGGGCTAACTTACAGCTTTTGATAACACATATGTCATACTTCACCAAAGACTAATGACAAATACAATTTCTAAATTTCATACGCCCAATACTGGAATGTAAACCGATAGTCTTACAAGTTCCGTTTGCAATGGCTCACTATAGTATATGAATATTATAATTTTTATTTTGTAATTCATTACAGGCTTACTCATTCTTTGTCTGTTAATCAAGTTTAATATTTCATATAAACTATTACGTAATACTATTTACATTTAATTTCTCACTGTGCTACCACTACCACATTCCGCCCTACTCCTATACCATCGCGACACAATGACACATAACTATGATGGGAGAAACAATCGTCCAAATTCTATTCTTATCAGTTCTAGCTGTGTACTTTTGAGACAACTGTTTGTGTGGAAATAAAATAGATTTATTTCTGTAAAACGTTTCTTCGCTAGTTTTAAGACACCTATTCTAGAGTGGCAAAAATTTAGGTTTATCACGTGAAACTAAGAATGCTCAGCGACACTAGGGAAAACGCGGATCGCCGAGTTCCGCTGACTGGCAAAATGGCGTTCAGAATCAAGCCAAACGCACTAAAAAGCTTTCTGTAAAATAGGTAAAAAGCGAAACATTAAACCCTTAAAAGAGTACCATTTAGAATGAAGTTACAAATAAAATATAATTCTTTGCTTGGCTGAACTTTATGATAACTTCTGTTTTAAAACTTTTAGGTTATCTCAATGACAGTGTAACTGTAATCTCTCAATATTGTGCAAGGTAAAACACGGAACCAACAGATATGTAAATGAATAACATCCAAATTTATAAAAAAAAAAATGTGCAAAGTAATCATTAGAAAAATAACAGTTAAAAAAAATCTTAAATGTCTTACTGATGATGGCTACAGTTTCTTTTATTACACCAGAAAATGCTACGCATTCCATAAGCTATGTACAAATACATTTGAATTTACTAATATTGTAATACCGATAATCGACACTGAATATTAAATACACCCCCATTGAAATTGCATATAGCTTATTATAGACTCTTTGTGGCACAAATCAAAACACATAATCGTGAATGTCATTAAATGCTCTATCTCTTGGTATTCAACATTTCTTGACATTAACAGTCTCTAATACCGATATTCGACATTGAATTCTAAATACACCTCATTAGAAAATATTTGAAATTGTACTCTTTGTGTTTGTTTGTTTCTAATTAAGCACAAAGCTATACAATAGGCTATCTGTGCTCTGCCCACCACGGGTATCGAAACCCGGATTCTAGCGTTTTAAGTCCGCAGACATTCCGCTGTGCCACTAGGGGGCGACTCTTTGTAACACAAATGAAAACACATATATGTTGTGGTCATTAAATGCTCTATCCCATGGTATATAACACTTCTTGACAAAATATTCTATAATAACGATATTCGACATTGAATATTAAATAAACCTAATTAGTAAATCTTTGAAACCTATTATGGACTCTTAGAGTCATAAATCCAAACACACATTTGTCAAGGTCTTTAAATGCTCTGTTTGATGAAGTAAAAAACTTTTTGACACAAACAGTCTGTAATAATGATAGTCGACATTGAATAACTTTAACATTGTTATGAAAAAAAAAGGATCATGGTGTAGTGGTTGATCAGTCTCTTAAGCCATCCAAGTAGTGTACTGTTGCTAGCGGTAGGGCAAGTAGGACGTTAAGCTGTATCTACGGAAATAGTGAATACAAGAGGTTATAATTTCATTTTTTATGTTACTGGTTATGCCACATTTGGAGTATTGTGTTCAGCCTTGGGCTCTTTACCTTAGGAAGGACACTGAATTGTTGGAAGAAGTTCGTAGGAGGATTATCAGAATGGTGCCTGGGGTGGAGGGGTTGTCATGGGAGGATAGGTTAAGATCTGTGAAAAAGTGTTTTTTTTTTAAAGAAGAGCTAGAGCGGATTTGATTGATGTGTTTAAGGAAAGTGATAGTGTTGATGCATCTTTTTTCGTACTTAATAGTGAGAATGGTAGGACCAGGGGACACAAATATAAATTTTGGAAGGGTAGGAGTAATCTCCAGCTAAGAGTTTTATTTTTCTAACAAGGTGTGGGCTTTTGCAATAGATTGCTTTTAGATGTGGTGAATGCAGCAAATTAAAGTGTTTAAATGGAGACTTTGTAAGTATTTTAATAATATGGGTTAGCTCTGAGGTTGTTTTATCTAATTTAGCTGATGCAACAGGCTAAATGCACCAACTGATCACTTGCTGTCCTTAGATTTTATGTTATATAAAACTATATTTTTCTAACAGGGTAGTTGGCCTTTAGAACGGGTTGCCTTCGGATGTTATGGAGGCAGTAAATTTAGAGAAAGCTTAATAACTATGTGAATAAGAGACTTTGAAGTATTTTTGAAAAGTTTTAGTTGAGTTTAGATGATAGGACGGGCTAGATGGACCAGTAGATCCCTTGTTGTCCCTAAATAGTATGTTATAATCTACACCATGACAATTTCAAATACTTTGCGGTCTAACATGTACATGCAAAACATAATTCTAACTTCTTTTAGAATATTTTCTTTACTGATACTCCGATTGTTTTATGTTACAAAAACACCTTCAGAATAACAAACATAAAATATATTTAGTCAACAATACAGCCTTAGAAGTTTGAAATGGCGTTTAGATAAGATAGAACTGAACACGATAATTTATTATTAACTTCAGATTCAAAGTATTCAATTATTAACGTCGCCTTTATTTTACGGCGGTTTATATTTTTTCTCTATTGATATTTTCACTGTTGTCCGTGCAGGTTTATATATATAAAAGAAAGCAACATCAGGTTAGATTCTGTATCCACTGAAGAGAATCGAACGCTTTATTTCAGCATCCTAAATCCGAAGACTTACCACTGTCCCATCGCGGGACGTACCGTTGTTATGTCGAAAGAAATTACTATGTTTTGATATATGTTCACGTTTATGAGAGGAGTTGATTATCACCTTTGAAAGGTTAAAAACTTTCCTTCAAGTTTTCGGCATTTTCGGAAATTTTTGTGAAACCATTTTTTTTTCTACTGTTTATTAATATAATTTATTTCGTCTTAGAATTTCTCTTTTTGATCTTTTGTCTCTAAAACGTTTTAAATATATCCACGAGAGTTATTTTTTCATTAAAAATATAATTTCTGTCTGTTGTTGTAACAGTGTTCAAATTTCTTACTTGGTCATTCAATCTCAGACACGCAGTGAAAATAGGTATCAGAAAATATGAAAGGAAGGAAAACTGGATTTTTCTTGTTTTGCCAAAAGTCAAATTTTTTGCCGTTAGCTTCATAATGGTAGTAAGAACAAAAAGAAGTCCAACTCTTTTGGCAATAAAATAAATTATCGTGAACTTTCTAAACGTTCTTTGAAGTCGTTTCAATAGTATGTTTGTTAAGTATATCCGAGATATTTCCATGGCATATTTAAAATAATAAAGTTGTTCGTCAGCAATTACAAGAGAATGAAACATCCTGTAAATTTTATTGCATGTTGTAATAACACATTCACAATAAAGCGGTACCACAGATACTTTAATAAAACTGTAAACATATGTTGTTCTTTGAAGCAGGGTTGAAAAACGCGATGTCTTCGCAGTCCAAACTCTGCTTCAAAAACATGAAAGAAAGATATCAATGATTCATGAATGATATATTAAGCAAATATAACAATTTTCATAGGTTTTAATATTTTCGTTATTCATTGAAAATAAGTTGGATATACTTTCAAACTGGTTTATTATCTATTGCTAGCTTATTTTGTGAACAAGATTAGAAACAACGCCTCTGAGGCCACAAAGAATATCAAAGAGGTTTATGGAAATGTTTTGAGCGTTCGTAAGTGTCAACGATGGTTCAGCAAATTTCGTTCAGGTGACTTTATCCTTAAAAACTGTGATGGCAGGGGTCGACATGTTGGAATTGATATTGATGCTCTGAAGACACTTGTTGAATCTAACCAAAGGCAACACACTCATGAAATGGCCCTGAAATTGCATGTCTCTCATTACGTAAACATTTAAGGAATATGGGAAAACTCCATAAAGAAGATGCTTGAGTGCCTCACGAAATAGGCCGGTATGGCCAGGTGGTTAGGGTTTTCGACTTGCAATCTCAGAGTTGTGGGTTTGAATCCCCGTCCCATGGGGGTATTATAATGTGACGGTCAATCCCACAGTTAATTGTTGGTAAAAGAGTAACCCAAGAGTTGGCGGTCTGGTGATGACTAGCTACTTTCCCTCTAGTCTTGGCCCGGCATAGCCAGTGGTTTGGGTGCTCGACTTGCAATCTGCGGGTTCGAATCCCCGTCCCACCAAACATATTCGCCCTTTCAGCCGTGGGAGCGTTATAATGTGACGGTCAATCCCACTATTCGTTGGTAAAAGAGTAGCCCAAGAGTTGACGGTGGGTGATGTTGACTAGCTGCCTTCCCTCTAGTCTTGGCCCGGCATAGCCAGGTGGTTAGAGCGCTCAACTCGCAATCTGCGGGTTCGAATCCCCGTCCCACCAAACATATTCGCCCTTTCAGCCGTGGGAGCATTATAATGTGACGGTCAATCCCACTATTCGTTGGTAAAAGAGTAGCCCAAGAGTTGACGGTGGGTGGT